TATTTGACTTATGTCTATCGCTCCCCTTCATGTTCTAAGGACCATGAAGGCAAGCAATAAGCCTAATTTATCTCCCCACTGTATTTCCCAGCACCCACAATGGCCTTTACACCTAACGCTCACTGAATGATAAAATGTCTATTTTGGCTAAAGAAATGCCTGAATATATGTAGACACACCAAGCATACACTCCTACACTGTCACACATTTGGTAAGCCCAGTCACCCCCAGCCCTCAGACTACCCCATCATGGATAGGTCCCAAGGTGATACCTGAACAAACTCGAAGGTGACACCCTCACCAGCTGCCTGGCACCAGCTCTGTAGCTGCTTCTCAAAAGCCTGAGAGAAGGGAAACAAGATGATCTCTTAGGCTTTCTCTGAACCTCTAGGGCACGATTAAAGACATGATTAAAGATGCAGGTTCTCTCCCTCTAACCCAGGTAGAGTCAGCACCTGCAGGTCCACATCTGGTGCCAAGCGGATGTCAAAGCTGGCGCTCATAGTGGCGGGTACCACATTATAAGCCACACCACCCTCTAGCTTAGTCAGGTTCACACAGGTTACGGCCCCCTCCTTCAGATGAGGGTTTGACTGCAGCCTTTAGTTGGGGGAGAAACAGATAAAAGAAAGTGGCTCAGCCTCCCTCTCCTCTTGCACTGCCCCCCAAGGGCCACCTCCACCCCACCTCATTCCCAGACCGCCTTACCTCTGCCTTTCCTTCTCCCGGAATGCCAAGATGGAGCTCACAACTTTGTGCTAGAAGAGCGTGAAGTGAGATGTGAGAGTGGCCCCAGGATGGAACCTCCCAAACACCCAGATTCTCCAAGGACCATGTACCAGCTTCTCTGCTGCTGTGTCCTCAATGAAGCGTGACCCATGGCCTGGCCTCCCAGAGCTGGTAATCCGCACCCCTGGGGAGATGTAGAGGGAAGAGAATATTTCCAGCACATGAGAGGGCTGGAGATGCAGTCATCCCAGGTATCTCCCTTATTCCAAGCACCTCTGTCAGGACCCTGTCCTGCTTGGAATCACAGCATACAGCTATTCCTGCCTATAGTCAGAACTTGCCCTCAGAAGCTCAGGAAAGAGGAGACCAGGCAGGAAGAGGTGAGAGGCAAAGGCCCTGGCTTCAAGGCCTATTCAGGACTCAACGGGATTTGTGATCCTTTGTAGGCTGATGCTCTTTTTCCTCATCCACATATATAGCAAACCTTCCCTCCAAGCCCACCCGTACTCACACCAGATGCTCCGCTCACTATAAAAGACAGTGAAGGCATCAGTGGGGTTAGCCAGGCCTGAAGGGGAAAAGGAGGTTCAGAAAATGGAGTGACTCAGCCCCCACTAGCAGCCTCCATACCCCCATCCTGGCTGATCAGAGGCTTACCAACCTACTCACCCTCATCCAGGGCAAATCCCACCCTCAGGGCCTGGAACTCAGGCCGCTGTATGAGCAGCTCCATGCCTTTGTGACCTCCAATTTCCTCATCTGTAAAAGCACAGGGACTTGAGATAAGGCGGCTGCTCCCTGACACTCCCCTTCAACCCCAAAGCTGCCTTCCTTCATAAGTCACTCCTACCAGGCACAAAGGTCATGTGGATGGTTCTAGGAAAACGGTGGCCCTCAACCTTCAGCCTTCTCACAGCTTCCAGGTACCTGAGGGAGCATAAGCCAAGTGCTGCAGGAGCTACAGATGCTTATTAGAATGGCCCAGCAGGCAGGGCCAAGCTGGGCTAGCAAGGTGCAGTCTACCCTGCCATGATCTAGCAAGAGCTCCAGAAAGTCCCTGCCCATCTCTGAATCTCAGTCTTCCCATCTGTTCAATGGTTATGGAAATAATTTTGCCCAAGCTAGGGGTCAAGATGACTCTTACACTGAAGTTCTCCAGTCACATTCCTGCGTCAGGCTATTGGTCCAGTGAGGACACTGCAGGGGACTGGGAATAGAGGATACTCACTGGATGCTGACACTCTTCATGTCTTGGGTGCCCCTGGCATAGATGTAGCCCTCAGAATCCTTGAAGGCCTCAAAGGGGTCATGACTCCAATGTTCCTAGGGATAGGGATGGGAAAAAGGTGACAGAAAGGGTGGTAAGGAGTACAAAAGAGTACTGAAGAAGGTAGCTGATCACCATCTGGCAGAGTCAATGCTGGAAAAAGACTGCTTGAGTGGAGAAATGGCATACAGATGTCAAGAGTTAGTGCTGGGACCAGCAGCATGGATTTCTGAGGTCTACATCCTGTGAGTCCTCCAGGCATGCATATACCCCTCCACACATACCTTGAAGACAGGTACCACATCCATATGGGAGTTGAGCAAGATGGAGGAGAGTGTAGGGTTGGTGCCTGGCCAAGTTAGCACAGGAATCACATAGCCAGGTGTCACCTAGAGACAGTCAAAAGAGAAGTTGGTCTATTCTGGGTGAGGAGGTGCCCCAGGCCCATTGCCCCTCTCCACCCAGGACTCCAGGCTCACCTCCACTTTCTGACAGCTCAGGCCTAGCTGGTGGGCTCTCTCCTCAAAAAAGGCCACAGCAGTGCCTGGAGGTATAGAGAATCTTGGGGCTGTTTCTGCCTACCCATGGCTCCCACCAGCCCAAGCAGCCAAAAAAAAAAAAAAAAAAAAAAAAAAGATCCAGAGATGGGCTTCTGCTCCCCATCACAATTTCATAACCCTCAGAGACACCTGCATTTCTATCCCCAAGGAAAAAGATATTCTTGGCCAGTGTGCAACTTTGTGGAAGACAAGGGTAAAGTCCAGGATTGGAAGCAGGTGTTTTTCTTTGTGTGTATGTGATACTGGGGATTGAACTCAGGATCCTTGCTCATGCTAGGCAAATGCTCTACCACTGAGTCACATCCTTAGSCCTTTTAAAATTTTATTTTTAGACAGGGTGGCCTGGAACTTGCAATCCTCCTGCCTAAGCTTCCTGAGGAGCTAGGATTACAGGTGTGCGCCACCATGTCCAGCCGCAGGTGTTATTCTTCTTTAAAAGATGAGGAAATTATGGCCTAGAGACATGAAAAGATTCACCCAACATCTCTCAGCTGACAAACTATTGAGCAGAAATTTGGACCCATGTACACAATCCCAGCTACCAAGCATGATTCCTGAGGGCCTTTATCCAGCCCCAGTAAGCTCCTTGAAGGGCCTCTCCCCAACCACTCCTGCTCTGGGAAGTTGTTCCCTAACCAGTTGCTAGGAGTAATATTTGGAGCAACACAGCTTTTGGGGAAAGGGCGGTCAACAATAGAAGTGACATCTCATCTATTGACACAGGGAATGACAGAGTTGGAGGTGGTTAGAGCACAGGCCCTGGGACCACCGTGTTCTCACCATAGTCGGGATTAGGGTGGACAGTGYGGATGCGCAGGTACTGGCGGAACAGCGTCACAGATGGGTGCTCAGACTCAGGATCCTTGCTGGCCATGGCTCCGATCGTGGTGAGCTGAGGGCAAAGTGAATGGAGAACTGACCCTACCTGAACAAAGGGCTTCCCCACCGAGGCTCCCCGGAAATTCTAAGGGAGAGGACACCTTATTTTGGAGCTCCTATTCTGTTTAGACGACGCTGTGCTGCCCGCTTTCAACGCATATTCTTATTAATTCCCCAAAGAGCTCCAGGAATTTTGTGTCTCTCAATGCCCACTTTATAGAGAAGAAAACTGAGGCTCACAGAGGTTTGGGGACAGCCAGAGAGTTGCTGAGCCAGGTTTGAATATGGACTTTGCTCCCCACGCCCTCCTCAAGAACCCCAAACACCTCTAGCCCTAGCTAAGACCCCCCCCACYCGCCCACCTTTCTTTTTCCTGGTTTTGGGCCCGCGTTCGCCTTTCAGCTCCCGCTGCGAGAAATGTGGCGGGGACTCCGGGTCCAGCAAGGTCGCGAGATCAAAACTGCCCTAATCCGCTCACCACTTAGCCCAAAGCCGGGTCGCGGGGCGGATATCGCAGATTGCAAGTCACAACCTTCCCACTCCCTGCGGCAGTGTAGGCGCCTAAGTCCGGGTCCTCCACCGAGCAGGACCTCCACTGAGTTATTGGAGGCTTGAATCCAGGATCCCGCCCCCTGGGCAGCTCTGGCCGCCGCCAGCTCCGCCCCACAGGCGGCACGCTGGGGGCTGGCTCCACCCCGAGAAGGTTCCGCCCCCAGAGGACACCCCCTTCCCCTCCAGCCTCCAGAGGAGGCCCTAGGAGAAGAGGGCGGTCCCTGACGCTAAAAGTGGCCGCTGCGGTGTTGAGTAAGAAGTAKCTCTCAGGGCGCTGGGCTGCCTGTTTCCCCACCCCCTCCCGCAAGACTTCAACCGCTCTCCTTTTCGTGCTTCAGCGGATCAAGAAGATTCTCTCATGCCTCATCTCCATGTTTAGTAAGGTTGTTGGTTAATATCTACCTGTTCCACACTGTGACCTCCAGGAAGCTGGTCCACGGGTCCGCAGGATTCTGACCCTGGTCAGGCACAGAACAGCTGTCCAGACAACGTACCAGGAATGAAGGATACATGGCATTGTTGGGAATATGTGTGAATGTGCCACTGTGTGGGCAAACCTGTGTATCAGTGGACATGACCATATGTGTGACAATATGAATGTGAGTTAGTGAGTGTGATGGGATGTCACTGAAAAAGATGCAATCCTGACGCCATATGACAGTGAGACGTGGGGGAAACAGCACACTCTTGGCTGCCCCCTGTGCCAAACTGGATCTTCTTCACCCACCAGAGACAGAGAAACAGACATAGAGGTACCCTTGGCCACTTGCATGTGCACATTTGTGTAACTGGCTGCTCTTTGCACTCTCAACCAGTTCTGCTCTCTGCTCCAGTGGCTGAGTCAACTTGGCAGCCCACAGGAGTAGAAAACTTCAACCCCTGGACCAAGAAAGCAGTCTGGAAGGGTAAGGGAACGGCCCATCCCATCCTTCCTGGGGTTGAAGTCTCTGGATGTTCACCCACACATAACAAAGGAACAAACAGGCTTGTGATTCAATAGCAATGCTGTTTTAATTCTTAAACCAGTTTCCCCATACTTCTGTCTACACACTCTACATTCCAAACTCAGCTCAGCTACCCAGACCCTGGATTTCCCACCAATCTCAGTGGTCATACAGCAGCATTAACATGCACTCCTGCTTTCCCCATCTCCACATGACCAAATGCTTTACTTACCAGACACATTCAATCCTACAACTTCCCTCGAGCTAGATGTTACCATCATGTCTGTTTAACAGATGCCTAAACTAAGGCATACAGAAGTAAGTCGTACAGTGAGGAAGTRGCTCACTCTTAGATCCACAGGGTTCTGGAGCACCCCCACCAACCCCAGCATCYGCCCCTAAACAGTCCCAAACTTGCCTCCCACTCCCACCTCTCTGGAAGCACACCAGGAAAGAGAGCCTGTTACTCTCTAGGCAAAACAAATATGCTTTTCTTTATTGTGCCTGTGAAGTGAAATGAGACGTCCTGGCTGGGCCTGCCCCTTGGGCCTGGCTGGGCCTGCATCCCTGGTGGGGAGAGAGTGGTGGTCCAGACCCTCCTAGCACAGGACAGGCCTAGGGCTTTGGAAGTGGGTTAGTTCAAGACAAATGGTCAAGAAAGTCAAGGAGGACGAGATGGAAGTCTTGTGGCTTGTGGAGGTAGCAGGCATGGCCTGCATTGTGTATCTTCACCACAGAGTGATTGGGCAGGTGGCGGAGCTGCTGCAGTGACTCTTGAGCCAGTTTGTGGTCSAGCTCCCCATACAGGATCAGGGTTGGGGTCTGCAGGGCAAGGCAAGAGGCTGTGATCCTGGAGACAGGTGAGGATCTGATCCCCAAGTTATTATCTTAGGAAGACTTTCTGAATCCCCACCTCCTCCATTCAAAATCACCCTTAGAGACATGTCCCACCAAGTAAGACTTGAGTCCTGACCACCYCCTCCATGACACAAATTAGGGAGAGGGTGCCACAGTGACTTTTGAAGATCCTTATTCTAGTACCTTCACAGCCCAGAATTGTTCCTGGTTGTAGTTCTGGGTGGAGGTGGGGGCGATGGGCACGAATCCACGTAGCTGGTGGTGGCTTTGCATCAGGAAGGGCAGGGCGTAGTGGCCACTCAGTGAGGGGCTCACTAATACAGCATTCTGCACCTCCAGGTCCCGCAAAACTTGCTTCAGCAGCTCTGCCCTCCCTGCCTCTGTGCTTACTTCCTTTGAAGGTGCTGAGTTCCCGAAACCTGGGAATGGCAGCAAGTACTAGTTGAAGGTGAATCTGGACTTCTTTCCCACCACAGTGTAGAAGAGATGGGGACCAGTGGCACATGGTACATGCTACCCCAAACTTCCTAGAAGCTTTTTTTTTTTTGTATGTAATAGGCCTGCTAGAAAAATATATTTTAGTCAGGCACAGTGGACATGCCTGTAATCCCAGCCATTTGGGAGGCTGTGGCAGGTGTATCACAAGTTTGAGTCAAGCCTCAGCAATTTAGTGAGATCTAGCTTAGTGAGTTCTAGCCAAGGATCTAGCTCAGTGATAAGAGTACCCTGGTCTCAATCCTCAGTACCCGAAACAAAAAATACCTGACAATACCCAGTTTGGGGGAAAGATGTAGAAAAACAGGCACTTTCATATATGACTAATGGGAGAATAAATCTGTGCAGCTCTTTGGAGGGTGAGGTAGTATTTTTCAGAATTTTAAAATGTGTATCCTTTGATCCATCAATTGTTCTCAATAACTACCCTAAAAAAAGTATTGCCTCCATGCTTAAAGAAGCATGTCCAAAAATGTTTTACTCTTGAGGATTTCAACTGACAATGAAAACTCTAAATCAATCTACATATCCACCAGTAGAGGAATGGCAGATCAAAGGAGATTTGCAGAGACCAGCATGATCCAGGAGTCATRGTGTAGGGGAGAAAACCAAATTGCAGACAGACTTGCAGAGCCAGCAAGACACTAATCATGTTTTCAATCCTCACCACACTATCCTGCATACCATCTGTGTTTCTATGTGTGGAAATGCTGAGGAGAGGGGTCTAGCACCCCTTCCAACTGCTTAGAGAGGGAGTGAAATGTGGCACAATCTCTGAAGGCTTCACTTTTTTTTTTTTTTAATGACAAAAATGACAGTATCAGTTAAGGGTGTAGCTCAGTGGAAGAGCGTGTGCTTAGCATGCATGCACGAGGCCTGGGGTTGAATCCCCAGTACCAAGGAAAGAGGAAGTGTCACAGGGGTGGTGGTGATGAAGAATTGATAGCACAAATCATTTGTGTAGTTAAAAAAACCAAAAAGCCACATAGTTTGTGAGTCATATTTCTATTTGCTCTGACATACAAACATACTGTAATTTTCAAGGAAAACAATATAAATACACATTTTCATGGTGACATATTATGTTGTGACCTGCCACTGCTTATCCAGACACTGGGGTCCAGAAGCCCCCAAGCCATACCTTAAGGCTTCCCTACCCTTCCAATTTCCCCTTCTGGGAAGCTGCCCCTTTGCAATTGCTATGTCCTGCCTCCCTAGATCTAAGGGTGGGGGTGCTCACCTGGAAGGTCAAGGGCCACAGCCCGGTAGCCCCTCCGTGATAATAGCTGCAGTGTGCCCAGCTGCTCCCATGTGTGGGAGTTAAAGGCCTTTCCATGAAGCAGCACCACCTCCACCCTGCAAGCACACAGGGAAATATATCCTGAGACCTGGGGCAGCCTACTGTTCTTTCTCCCTAAGTTTTTCCCATTGCTTTTGTAGGTCCCGAGCACCCTRAGTCAGGCTGGGGTCCTTCAGGTCTACACCCACCTGTGTGTCTGATGGAGTGGAACCACCTCACGGTAAAAGATGGGGGAGTTTCCTGGGGTAAGACCAACCAGGACTGTGACATTGGGGTCTCCCAAGAGCCAGGAAGTTTGCTCAGGGGGGCCAGGCAGTCCCATATACAATAGCAGCAGGAACAATAATACACCTAGGCCCAGCAGAGCAGCCTTGTACCGGCTCACGCAGGTCTGTACGGCAGTCTGGAGGAGGGGGGAGAAGGAAAAGAAGCAAGGCTGAGCCCCTACAAGGTGTCTGGACCCATCCCCAAACCCCAACCTGAAGTCCCTACAGAGAAAGATCTGCAACTCTGGCCCTTCCTTTGCTCTGGACAAAAGACTGGGGGTTCAATACCCAGCCACTCCATATGCTAGGACAAAGGCCCAAAGTGTGAGGAGGTGCATCTGAGTTGTCCCTCTAGCACACAGCATGCTCAGTGACCATCATCCCTGACAGTTAAACTTACTTCAAGCACTGATGACAGCAGGCTCCTGCTCAGCCCCCCACAACAAGGAGGTCCATAAAGAACACTAAAGAAGATATAATTACAGGTCTCTTACAAATGAGGAAATTCAGGTTTGGAGAGGTGAATTCTGTTGCTCAAGTAGCACAAAGCRGGAACTGGGATTTGAACCCAGGGCTGGACTCCTAACCATCAGGTCACACTTGGTTTGGAAGAAGGAAAGCATGGAAATGGGAGGCAATGGATGAACTGAAGCCCCCCTACTGGATAGAGTGGTGTTATTATTCTGTATATAATACTGCTAAAATCAGAATGTGTTTTATGGTTGATGGGAATATTTAATGGCTGACCACAGCTGTTTTGGGGAAGCTCACAGAGAATGTTGGGGATGGAGGAAATGCAGAGGCCTGAGTCGGTGTGGGGCCAGGGAGGAGCGTGGTTCACCTAGAAATGGAAAAGGCAGCYGGAGGTTGGAGAGATGAATGTCTCCACCCCCATATACAGACACACATACAGCTTCACACCAAATGACCTGCTTCATGGACTCCTCCAGTACAGGGCCTTTGCCAGCCCAGGGACAGAGCCCAAGCAGGTAGAGCTGGCTTTACAACAGGTCTCTGCCAATTCCTGACCCTGAGTCTTCAGTATATCAGTAAAGTGGGATAATTCTGGTTGCTCTCTCAAGTCTCCTGTGAGATTTAAATAATACAGGGGACTTAAGAGAAGGTGGGCTCTGTCCCTGCCATTATTTCTTGGGCCTAGGATGAGCACAGCCTGCCTTCTCCTAGGATTCTAGTAAATAATCTTTTTTTTTTTCCCTTTTCTTTTCATATTTATCTTTTAGTTGGACACAATATATTTATTTATTTATTTTTATGTGGTGCTGAGGACCGAACCCAGGGCCTCGCATGTGCTAGGGGAACGCTCTACTGCTGAGCCACAACCCCAACCCCATCTAGTAAATAATCTTTATTGAGCACCAGCTAGGTGCCAGCTAGAATTAGCTGGAGTCCAGTCTTGGATCTCTCACACACCTCTGGGGGACATTTGGAGGGGATATCCTTCCCCTGCCCCCACTCCCACGCCTACCCTCCAGGTTCCGGAGTTAAGTGGTGGGTAGGCAATGGCAGTTGCACTGGTGCTGATGGAAAACCAGGAGCCAGGTGGAGAAACAGCGGGCTCTTCTTCCTAGTCACGAACAGCAATAGGACGCATACCCACAACCTAGCACCTACAACGCAGCGTTAGTSTGGATTCCTACTATATTGAGCTTTGGGGTCGGACCCCTCCTGGCTGTCGGGTCTGCTGAAAAGTTGCAGTGCCTCTCGCAGGAGGGAGGGGCAGGGCTTTGGTCRTTGCTTTGGCAATCCAGGGTGCAGCCCTTCTAGACTGTTGCAGCTGCAACCGGTGGCTCTAGAGATGGGGTTGGGATGGGGTGGGGTGGAGAACAAGCTGCCCTTTAGGCCACCGAAACACGTGTCGACAGTGACACTCACGTGTCCATACGTACACACAGTCTTGCCCCTGTACCCTTTTCTTTTGCACGAACTATTCCCTGTACGTACATGCAGAGTCCTTGCACACTTATTGGTCCTTGCACAATCAATCCCTTGCAATAACACTCTCAAAATCACGCACACAGTCAGGCATCAGGAAGGCGGACAGTGAACTGGCACACTCTTTCAGAAGGACTTGTACAGGGCGCTCTGGCACATGCCTGTAATCCTAGGCACTTGGGAGGCTGAGGTACAAGGATTACAAATTCGAGGACAGCCTGGGCAAATAAGCAAGACCTTATCTCAAAGTAAAAATAAAAAGGGATTGGGGATGTGGCTCAATGGTAGAGCAATTGCATGATATGTGCGAGGTCCTGGGTTCAAATCCCAGTATGGCAAAATAATAATTAATAATAATAATAATAATAATAATAAATTAAAAAACCCAAACAACCCACATGCAGACACTCAGAAATACCCAAGCACACAGTCACACATAGTCCTAAAACTACACACTCACAGAAGAAACACAAGCACAGACAGATAATCACACTCCCACAGATAATCACACATAGAGAAATACCCCAAAGTAGACATACATAGACCCACGAATACACCGCCCCCACAGCAGTACGAAGAAACAGACTGACAGATACACAAGCGGACACATACATATTCCCGGATTCCCAAGAATACAGCCTTCAGGCAGACACTTGCGTGCTCACACACACAACACGCGATCACAAGTACACTCCCAGACCCAGCGCGTGCCCCTTCAGTAGGACTCTGCCCCAGGAGGCCTGGGAAAGGTGGCCCGCCCCCGGGGCCAGCCTTCCTCCTTCCTCCCAGGGGACACTCACCGGGCCGACCCCGACGACCCGGCGAGCTACTGCAGGGCGGGCCCCGCCCCGGCGGAACCAAGAGCCAAGCAGCGCCGCGGCCATGGCGTGGCCTCCGTCACTAGGTCGGCTGCTCCGTGACTAGGCAGTGACAAGTGAGGCTACCGAAGTGCGCCTGCGCACTCTGCAGCTGGCAGGCGGGGCTCCTATGTAGCAAATAGTTCCAGAGGAGGGGACTGGGGGTGGCGCCTCAAAGCACCGAGACCCGGCCGGACCCTCCCCGTCCAGAATTTCCGAGTAGTTTTGGGCTTAAGAACTGGCGGAAAGCCACCAGATTCTTGTCCCCAGAACATCTTCACTTTAGCTCAGTTATCTCTGTGGATACAATGGGAAGGATTTAAGACCGGTCAAGCCTCCAAGTCTCAGCCTGGCACAGAGGCCTCCTTGTGTAAATGCAGATACTATTTGTTGTCATGCAGCTGTTACAGGCGCGCGCGCGCGCACACACACACACACACACACACACACACACACACACACGAGTCAGGCTTGAGTTCCTGTCTCTCATGCAACCTATCCTGCTTGCGATGTGTGACCATAGTCTGGTCTGTCCCAGGCTCAGGGCTCCGCGTGGTAACCAAACTCAGCACAAAGAAGCTGTGCACAGTGCACAGAACTCGATTCTTACTTGTACCCTGCAGAGGTGGGCAACATTCCACCCATTCTACATGTGAGGAAACATGCTTGGAGAAGTTGGGAAAACGACCAATGCCACCGGGCTGAACTTTTTTTTTTAATTTTTTAATATTTATTTTTAAATTTTCGGCGGGCACAACATCTTTGTTTGTATGTGGTGCTGAGGGTCGAACCGGGCCGCACGCATGCCAGGCGAGCGCTACCGCTTGAGCCACATCCCCAGCCCCCCACCGGGGTGAACTTTGACGGAGCTTTGCACTCAAACCTGAGAACATTAATTCTATGCCAGAGTACAACTCTGCTTGGGCAGACCTGACTGGGGATGAGGGTGATAGTGGGCAAGAAGGGAGCAGCACAGGGATGCAATTCCGAAAGAGCCCGCATCCTCAAGGTGTACCGAGTCTACAGTGGGCATGTCATGAGGGCTTCGGGACCGCTTCCAGTCTCGCGCCTGGGGCATGTGGGACCGAGTGGCTTGGGGAAACTAAGGTCTCTATAAGAACAAGAGGGTTTAGTGGCGTGGACGGACCCGGAGGCAGCTTGTGGCCACAAGAGGGCGCCCTGCAGCATGGCCGGGTCCCCGCCTGGATCCCAGCCCGGGTCCCAGCCCCTGTTCCCGCCCCGGCCCTGGAGTCAACCTCTTCCCTGTTTCCCTCCCCATCCGCTGCGGGCACTCGCTTGCCTCCGGTGTGCGCGAGACTACGCCGCTCCCCAGGTACCCAACTTGCAAGCCCGACGCACTATTTCTCTCTCTGGTCAGAACCCACTCCCACCTACCCCAAGTCTTCCCATCTGGCTTCCCAGATCCCCTCCTTCTGTGCTGCCCTGCTTCCGCATGGGTCCTCCAGACCTAGGGAGCCGAACCTTGGTCCCGGGAGTAGACCGAGTGAACCGTAGCGGGGAGGATTTGACCGCTCCCCTAGCCAACACGTTGGGCCCCAGCCGTTAGCACACTGAGCACCCTGTGCCCCTTGCAGGCTGGAACTCCAAAGCTCTTGCCCGCTGGGCACTTGAGTTTCTCGGCCTTTAGAAAATGGGCATTTTATTGTAAACTTTGGCTCCTACCGCCTGCAGTGCCAACTCCCGACCTGTACCAGAGCGTTGGGGAAGATAAGGTTGATAAGCAAATTACTTTTTGTCTATTGAGCATTTACTGTGTGCTAAACATGGTGCCTGATGCGAGCATTTTACATGCGTGGCCTCATGTAATCCTAACTACCTATAAACTAATCCTAGTGCATTGTCCCCATTTGTACAAAAGGATAATAGCGATAAGAACAATAACCTGTAGAAGAGCTCCGCTGTTATTTATTTTCTTAAACTCTTAATAAAATTCGTAATTCTTGAGGTAGGCTTTATTATCCCCATATTGCAGATGAGGAAGCTGAGGCCCAAGGTCACACAATTAAGTGAGTGGCAGAGGCAAAAATGACCTTGAAGCTTGTTTCTAAAGCCCTGGAGGCCTCCTTGCTACCCACTCCAGACCCCTCTCTGAGAGCCTCCCTGCTCCACCTGGGCAGGATGTTCTGTGGCTCCTCATCAGTCTGGCTTTGAACCACAGGCACTTCAGAACAGCAGCAGCAGAAATGGCAAGTGTGGAGCAGCTAGAGGGCACCATCCAGGTGCAGGGCCAGAGCCTCTTTTTCCGGGAGGCACRGCCTGGAAGTGGGCAGGCCACTGGCTTCTCTGTGCTGCTATTGCATGGTATCCGCTTCTCCTCTGAAACCTGGAAGAACCTTGGTACACTGCACAGGCTGGCCCAGGCTGGCTACCGGGCTGTGGCCATTGATCTGCCAGGTACTTCTGGAGCATGCTTCTGGGTAGGGGTTGGGGAGGTCATATCTCAGACCCAGGGCCTGGGATGGGAGGACTAGGAGGAYGTAAGAGTTGGGTGTACACTGTAAGCATCTTTGAGCTTCTCCACTATTGATCTAGATGGGGCTTGGACACCACTCAGCTTCTCGCTATTACCCGAGGAGGTGTCTCTGAGCCTTATTTCTTCATCTGTAATGGGAGGAGATACTGCACTCATGTATGGGGTTGCCCTTAGTGAGAATGGAATAAGACTGTCCATGTGAGTATATGGCTAGTGTCTGACATACAGAAATGGGTACTCAGCTCTTTGGAAGTTAAAGTATTTTGACAGAGCCACGTTCACAGGCTGTTAGAAGAGTGAGACTTGAATCTCCTGGCAACTTGGAGGGCATGGCAGCACCTGATGGGTAGTTGTCAGCCCACATGCAGATCTCTGAGTTGGGCACTGGAGGAGGTAGGGACAGCCTCCAGAGAGCTTGTTAAAACCTGGACTGCAGGCCCCAGCCCTGCTGTCAAGTGTGGGAAAGGAGGCCTGGCTGATCTAATCCCCTCAGAGGCCAGGGTTGGTAAGGTTTCAGGGCTCAAGGGCAGGCCTCCAGCCTGTAGGAATTGTTCCAACAGTGGGTTGGGCTGAGCTTCAGGGCAAAGGTCTGGAGCTAAATTGCCGGTGATGGGGACTGGCTGGATGCAGTGGGGCAGACCTATAATCCTAGCAACTCTGGAGGCTGAGACAGGAGGATCGAAAGTTCTAGGTCTCAAAATAAAAAGAAATGGCAGGATGTAGCTCAGTGGTAGAGTGCCCCTGGGTTCAATCCACAGTATGGTGGTGGGGAGGTGGGACTGATTGATTGGAGAGGGAAGGTATGAGTGCAAAAGCGGCCCCCTCAGCCACTGTCCTCCAGGACCCCACTCTGTGTTAATTCACAGCCAGGTGCCCTTTAAATTAATCAACTTATTTTCCCACAATAGTCTTCAATGGCAGGTACTTTTGTTATCCTCTTTTATCAGGGGACACTGAGCAGCTGAGAGAGGGTTGAAGGGACTTGCTAATGGTCACATGGACAGTAAATGGAGAACTGGAACTTGGATTCAGCACTGTTAGATTTCAGATCCTGATTTTTTTTCAGGGTACTGTTAGTGGGAAAGGTGGGCACAGTATGGAGGGAAATGCTTATGCTTGCCATATTTATGATAGATTAGGCCACCATAGTTGTAAACTTGGGCTACTGGGTATAAGTAGGAACCTGGGCACAGAGAGATTGAGGTTCCTGGGAGGGCTTCCTGGAGGAAGAGACCTTTGTTTTCCCACTCACTATCCTTGTCTTGCCTTTCCCATACCTGAATCTCTGCAGGTCTGGGCCACTCCAAGGAAGCCGCAGCCCCTGCTCCTATTGGTGAGCTGGTTCCTGGTAGCTTCCTGAAGGCTGTTGTGGATGCCTTGGAGTTGGGCTCCCCAGTTGTGATCAGTCCATCATTAAGTGGCATGTACTCCCTGCCGTTCCTCACGGCCCCTGGCTCCCAGCTCCGGGGCTATGTGCCAGTGGCCCCCATCTGTACTGACAAAATCAGTGCTGCCRACTATGCCAATGTGAAGGTACCCTTGTGTGGGAAGCTGAGACACCCCTGCCAGGAGCCTGGAAGGGTCCATCCCTGAGTCTTCCTCATCTGGGGGCTGGGTAACCAATGGGTGGCCTCTGGGAGGAAATGACTGCCAAATTCCATCCTTTTGATGTACTTATCAGATTTCTGTACTAAGCTCTGTWCTAAACTGTGTGCTGGGGCAGACACAAATCCAAGCCCCCAACCTACTGATCCAGCTTGTCTCAGTGTGTCACCGCTGATGGCTAGAACTGATCTTCAGGAGGCTGGAATGGCAGGCCCGCCCTGTTGACTCTTCTCCCATTTCCTTTCAGACTCCAGCCCTAATTGTATATGGAGACCAGGACCCCATGGGTCACACCAGCTTTGAGCACCTGAAGCAGCTGCCCAACCACCGTGTGCTAGTTATGGAGGGGGCTGGGCACCCCTGTTACCTGGATAAGCCTGAGGAGTGGCATGCAGGGCTGCTGGACTTCCTGCAGGGGCTAGCATGAGGCTCAGCCTTGCAGATGGGGGTGGACTGCCTTCCTGCCTGCCTTGGGAATCTTTCTCTTCTCCTACATGGGCTCTGGCTTATGCACATGCAACAGGTTTGTCTGTCTATAAGTCTATATGGAGTCTTGTCTTTTGGGGTCTGTCTGCCTTTTTTCTGCTTTCTCTTGCAGTGACAGATTGAGAAGGTAAAATCAAGAGGGGGGAAAAAAAACCCTCAGGAATTGAGGAACATAACCTGGTGGAGGGTAATTGATGAGTTTCTCCTACAGGCTTTTCTGCTTGGCCTTAACTCCTTACTCTGCCCAGCCCTCCCCTGCCCTCCCCTCCCCTGCCCTCCCCTCCCCTGCCCTCTCCTCCCCTCCACCTCCACCTCCTTCTTTAAGCCCTACAGGCCAGCCACTCCCTCCTCCACTTCTCTAGCCCTCTTAGGCCACTTGCATGCTTACACATTTGAGTTTATGTTCCCAAATAGGACCTTTCACCTGGGAGCCAAACCATACAGGTGTATGTAACTCGACTGGCATGCACATTCTCATGTGCAGTGTGCAT